CCGGCCCCCCCCCCACTGGGGATGGCCCCGCAACCCAGGTACATCCCCTTGACCGGAATCGACCCTGGGCCCCTTCAGTCCGCAGGCGCCGATGCTCTATCCACTGAGCCAAACCGGTTTCGGCCCTGGCTGGAGCTTTTAACCACAACCCATTCTTTGATCAATCCAGTGGAAACTACCTACTCTTTGAAAGTTTAGTAGAAACAGGTGTAACGCTTGGCTGGAGCGTACAGATTGACATCAAGATACATAAAGTACAAAGAAGTTACAAAATTTTCTTTACGTCAGTTAAAGGTTACATATCTATACCCATTTCACTACATGATGCTAAGCGTGCATGCCCATCACAATATGATATGAGAGGAGTATTTTCAGCATAGCCAACTGCTAATATATTTACTGGGAATAGTGCCAGGTTTTCTTAGGGATCTACTCCTACCTATTCCTTGGAGACCTCAACATCTCAACATCTTGGTCCCTCCCCCATGTCCAACATGAGTAGTTCAAAAGTCTCAAGACTCTACCTATCATCCAGTGATGGTGATGTATTCAGTGACAAAGAGACATCAGATTCTCATCATTACTTTGTTTAAAGAAAAAATTAATATTCCAAGAAAAATTTGTCATACGGCTTAGTGTTAATATATGTAGTATATCTTATGTCTGTCTATCTACATCTATCTATCTATCTATCTATCTATCTACCTATCTATCTATCTATCTACCTATCTATCTATCTATCTACCTATCTATCTATCATCTATATATCATCTAATCACATAAAATTTCCCAGGGCTGTGAGACCAGAGAAAGAGGCTGACAACTCTGTCAAAACATTGAGAGTTCATAAAGGGAGTTTGCATATAAGGCTTGTTTTGTGCGGCAGCTCGGCAACATGCATATCGTCCATGCCACATGGCAAATGCTGAGTTATATAGGACGGGGCAAGATGGATGGAGCACTGAGGCATGGCCTGCCCCAGATAAGGAGAAAAAACCTTACATGCTTGCCTGGGGAAAGGCAACAGCCTATTCCAGGAAATGGCACTCCTGGGGCATAGGGGAAGGGTCAGACAGTCTCTGAGAAGATTTATGGGAAGGAATCTCTGTTCTGTCTGGAATCTAGTTGGATCTAGATTCTAGATAAAGGTCCAGCTACAATCATGTTATTGAACAGCCCTCCACCCTATGTATCTATCTGCCTATCTATTTATCTATCTATCTAGCTAGCTAGCTATCCATCTATCTATTATCTATCTATCATTTATCTATCCTAGATTTCAGCCTAAGGCACCAACATGTACCTGAGCTCTTCCCTCTGAGTGTCTTAGTAAATAAGGACATTTTTGTGGAGAAGATGAAGCAGGGTGTGTCTGAGTATGGACAAGCCAGTGGGCACAATGAAACATTTTCAGGGACCAAAGATGGTTCAATGATAAAAAAATAAAAAAAGAATCATGCAGAAATATATGAGTGAGAGAAGTGGAAATGATAAAAAAGTAGAAAGTCTTATGTGGGCATGTGTTTAATATCATTTAATATCATAACTGCCATAATAACTATATTGACTTTGTAACTACGTATAGTCAATACAATCATACTTAATATAAATATTTCTTGTTTTTAAAATTAATTGATTTATGTTTTTATTTTTAATATTTACTGACTCATTATTTTATTAGATTTATTTTCTTAATTTTTCTAAATATTTAAAACAACATCTTTAAGTTCTTGATGGTAAAAAATGTGATATATAATTAGAAAACTTGGAAAATACAAATAACGGGAGATATGGTATAGAACCCAAAGGATAACCACAATTTTTTTTTTTTGTCATTTCATCCAGTTTTACTTGTGAATTCAACATACATGCCTTTTCTTTTTAATTTTTAATTAAATCCTTATTGTTCAGATGATTACATTTGTTCCTCTTTTTTTTCCCCATAACTCCCCTCCTTCCAGTTCCCACCCCATCATCCGCCCTCACTCCCAGCCACTGTCCTCCT